TATAATAATATAAAGCTCAGTGTTAGTGATGTATAATAATATAAAGCTCAGTGTTAGTGATGTATAATAATATAAAGCTCAGTGTTAGTGATGTATAATAATATATAATAATATAAAGCTCAGTGTTAGTGATGTATAATAATATATAGTAATATAAAGCTCAGTATCAGTGATGTATAATAATATATAATAATATAAAGCTCATTGTCAGTGATGTATAATAATATATAATAATATAAAGCTCAGTGTTAGTGATGTATAATAATATATAATAATATAAAGCTCAGTGTTAGTGATGTATAATAATTTATAATAATATAAAGCTCAGTGTCAGTGATGTATAATAATATATAATAATATAAAGCTCAGTGTCAGTGATGTATAATAATATATAATAATATAAAGCACAGTGTCAGTGATGTATAATAATATATAATAATATAAAGCTCAGTGTTAGTGATGTATAATAATATATAATAATATAAAGCTCAGTATCAGTGATGTATAATAATATATAATAATATAAAGCTCAGCGTTAGTGATGTATAATAATATATAATAATATAAAGCTCAGTGTTAGTGATGTATAATAATATATAATAATATAAAGTTCAGTGTTAGTGATGTATAATAATATATAATAATATAAAGCTCAGTATTAGTGATGTATAATAATATATAATAATATAAAGCTCAGTGTCAGTGATGTATAATAATATATAATAATATAAAGCACAGTGTCAGTGATGTATAATAATATATAATAATATAAAGCTCAGTGTCAGTGATGTATAATAATATAAAACTCAGTGTCAGTGATGTATAATAATATATAATAATATAAAGCTCAGTGTCAGTGATGTATAATAATATAAAGCTCAGTGTTAGTGATGTATAATAATATATAATAATATAAAGCTCAGTATTAGTGATGTATAATAATATATAATAATATAAAGCTCAGTGTTAGTGATGTATAATAATATATAATAATATAAAGCTCAGTGTCAGTGATGTATAATAATATATAATAATATAAAGCCTTACTGTCAGTGATGTATAATAATATATACAATATAAAAGCCTTAAAGTGTTAGTGATGTGGCGGCACAATATATAATAATATAAAGCTCAGTGTTAGTGATGTATAATAATATATAACTAGAGTGCTACAATTTCTGGGAAATTCAGGTGAAGTGTTCTTTGCCTACCTGTAGTCTACAACTGGAGTGCGGGCTGGAGTAACTGCTATCATTTACATAGCATTATTTAATTGCAACGCTGTTGCACAGTTACATTAAACCATACATTTATAAAAACATTAGCAGGTGTTCAAAAGGCCCTGTCTATGACATCACTTACTGCTGCAGCTTGACACAGGTCAGAGTATTTTGGCGGTTGCCATCTTCAAACGGTCGTATCTTAAAAACTATAACTCCTACAGCGAAGAGCTTTATATTGTGAGAATCACAAGACCCAGACCTACATTTTGATGCATAGTATGTCTCTGAAGTATTAAAAGTGAAGGCACAGTCGCAGTTTAGAAATTGCACTTCAAATTTGAGCTTTGTAGAGGGAAGTTTCAATGAATGTCAATGGACGGCGTTAGTTGCAAACAAATGATTATATTGTGAAAACTATCAGGACTATGGCTTAGCCGTTGACATATTTAGTGGCAGGAGGGAAAGCTGAACGTTTTGATATAAGATTTGTGTAGGTGGGCCTGAAAATAAGGGAGTGGTGGCAGTTTAGAAATAATGTCCTGATTTTTCAGCTTTTGCCAGCTCCCACTCTAGCTTTGCCATTCATTCCTATGGGACAAATTTCGCCACAAGAACGACGATATTCCGTGAACCATTCGGCGAAACGTTCCACAAAGTAATAGCAATCCGATCGGGAACAATCTGCACGTTTTGGTAATTTTTGGTCTATGTAGTGTAAAAACTGTGGGAGGAGTTAGGGTGGCAAATTTTGCTATAATAATAATAATAATAATATAACTAGAAAAGTTACAATTTCAAATTGTGTGAAGTGTTCTTGCCTCCACCTGTAGTCTACAACTGGAGTGGGTGGAGTAACTTATCATTTACATAGCACATTTAATTGCAACCTTGTTGCACAGTTACATTAAACCATACATTTATAAAAACATTAGCAGGTGTTCAAAAGGCCCTGTCTATGACATCACTTGCTGCTGCAGCTTGACACAGGTCAGAGTATTTTGGTGGTTGCCATCTTCAAACGGCCGTATCTTAAAAACTATAACTCCTACAGTGAAGAGCCTTATATTGTGAGAATCACAAGACCCAGACCTACATTTTGATGCATAGTATGTCTCTGAAGTATTAAAAAATGAAGGCACAGTCGCAGTTTAGAAATTGCACTTCAAATTTGAGCTTTGCAGAGTGAAGTTTCAATGAATGTCAATGGACGGCGTTGGTTGCAAACAAATGGTCATATTGAGAAAACTATCAGGACTACGGCTTAGCCGTTGACATGTTTAGTGGCAGCAGGGATAGCTGAACGTTTTGATATAAGATTTGTGTAGGTGGGCCTGAAAATAAGGGAGTGGTGGCAGTTTAGAAATCATGTCTGATTTTTCAGCTTTTGCCAGCTCCCACTCTAGCTTTGCCATTCATTCCTATGGGACAAATTTCGCCACAAGAACGACGATATTCCGTGAACCATTAGGCGAAACGTTCCACAAAGTAATAGCAATCCGATCAGGAACAATCTGCACGTTTTGGTAAATTTTGGTCTATGTAGTGTAAAAACTGTGGGAGGAGTTAGGGTGGCAAATTTTGCTATAATAATAAGAATAATAATAATAATAACTAGAAAAGTTACAATTTCAGGGGAAATTGTGTGAAATGTTCTTGCCTCCACCTGTAGTCTACAACTGGAGTGGGCGGAGTAACTGTTATCATTTACATAGCACATTTAATTGCAACGTTGTTGCACAGTTACATTAAACCATACATTTATAAAAACATTAGCAGGTGTTCAAAAGGCCTTTTCTATGACATCACTTGCTGCTGCAGCTTGACACA